GCGCGCGGCCTGCCGCGCACGCGCTGGCGAACGGTCACGAAGACCCGCCCGCGGCCGCGCGGGCTGAAGCGGAAGGGGGCGGGGCTCCTCCCGGTGCGTCCGCGGCGGCTGCGGGAAGCCCATTGATTCTGATTCCATTCATCCCTTTGGTCAAGTGCCTGCGGAACCGAGCGCTGTCCAGGCTGGGGAGTCTGAAAATGACTTCCAACGGGAGGGGCGAGACCAACGCACTGTGTACCCTGAGGTGCTCGCCTGCTTCGCACCTCGCTCTGCACAGACAAGTTGGCTCATCCTCATGATACAGATAAAGAGACTGGGATGGAGCCCGGCCACCGGCATATCAACAGTCACGTTCGAGAGAACTCCAAGGCTCGTCCCTCTGTCCTGTTTACACTGTCTTTGACCCTTCCACACAGTGTATAACGACGTCCTGTAAAAGCAGTGTTGTATTCCTTCGTGCTGCAGGGACTAAAAAGGCTTCCGGAAGATATGGGCTTCCCGCTGACAATGAAGTCATCTTGTTGCCACGGTCCAGCCCGCTGCGGCCTGGGCAGCCTGACCTGCCCCTTCCAATGACTCATCTGCTTAACAACACGTGGCAGACAGCTCAGCCATGCCTGGCCTCCTTCTGGCTTCAGCTGGTCTGCCACAACGCTGTTTTTCCTCTTTGACCTAACCAGAGCTCATTCCCAGAAGCCTTTCCTGCCTGTTTCATCCATTTGTCATCGGCCTCCTCCCTGACTCCTTTCTGAGTAGTAATAATGGATAGCACAATGGCGCTTAGTGGATTCCAGACACTACATTCAATTAATATACACAAGAAGAGGTCAGTAGTTTTCATTTTACAGTTGGGAGAACAGGCTGAGTTATAGTGCAAAGAGGACTCAAACCTAGGTCTGTGAGAAACCAGAACCCACAAACATAACCACTGTGTTGGATGATTCACGCAGCTTGCTTCTGCTTTCTCTGTCCCAGCTCCTCCCCATCCATCCAATTACCCAAGTAGAAAGAGAAAGCCATCCTTGGCTCCTTCTTTCTCGTCATTCTCTCATATCTAATAATGAAGAAGGCCTGTTGCTCTGTAACCTCACTGTCTCTCTTTCCATCCCATTGACACTAACTCATATCCAGTTTTACCTGTCCTTGCCTGTTCCACTGGGAAAGTCTCTCAACTAGTTCCCCTGCATCAAGTTTTATTCTCTTAGGACCATCTTCCCAAAGACTTTTATAAGAATCTTCATATTACTTTCTTGCTTCTAATAGTAAAATAAATCTCAAGATGAAATGTACGCTTCCTAAGAAGGCAAGGCCATCATCCAAAATCCAGTTTCTGACTACCTCTTTGTTCTATTAGCCCATACTGTGACCACTATTTATACTTATCCCTTATCCCTGCTACGTGATAGGGCCTGCACATTCTTGCTTACAAACAACAGAAACATATGCTGAATCTGGAATAGTCATACAAGAGAAGATTGAGCTGGGCAGTGGTGGCACACGCCTTTAATCCAGGCAGAGCCAGGCGGATCTCTGTGAGTTTAAGGCCAGCCTGGGCTACAGAGTGAGTTCCAGGAAAGGCACAGAACTACACAGAGAAACCCTTTCTCAGAAGAAAAGAGAGAGAGAGAGAAAGAGGGGGGGGGGGGTTTGGAGTGCTTGGCTGTCACGCACAAGGTCTCAAGTTTAATCCTTCGGAGCTTTAAAAAAAATGTTTTTGTTTGGGGCCTGGGAATACAGCTCAGTTGGTAGCATGTTTGTCCAGCATACACAAAGCCCTGATGTTGATCCCAGAACTACATAAACAGAGTGTGTCAAGAGAATTCAAGAGAAACACAAAACATTCTCAAAACAAAATAAAGTGGAAGCTCCATGGGACTAGACTAGGCCCTCTGCATAGGCTAGACGGTTGTGTAGTTTCACCTGCTTAAGGGTCCCCCTAGCAGTGGTGCATGAGCCTGCTTTTTGGAGCCTAGTACCTATGGTGGAACACCTCACACAGCCTTGGTGCAGGGGAAGGGGCTAGGAACTGCCTCAACTGAATGTACCAGTCTCTGCTGACTCCCCCATGGGAAGCCTTGCCTTGGAGGACATGGGAATGGGGGAGTAGGTTAGGGGGGAAGGCTGGGGCACAGGAGGAGGGAGGAAAGGGAGATCTGTGGTTGGTATGTCAAGTTAGTGAAAAATTTCTTAATTAAAAAAAGAACAAAAAATGCAACAAAAATGAATTACTATACACTCTGCGAAGCAGTGTAATCCAATGTCTGGTGGTAGGGGAAAAAAGCAGTATCCCGAATTTATTGCTGATATTCCATAAGGCTGTTTTTCCAACCTCTGCTTGATTCTGTGGTCCCTTCTAAACAAATTCCTCTAGGCTTAGGCCAATTCATCTCTACAAAGATAATCCACTGACTCAGCTTTGAGACCAGAATCTCACCCTACTTGGTCATCTTCCACTCTTAGGAATGGGAAGCTGGAGGTGACAGATACAGACACTAAAGCAGACCTCCTAATCACCCCTCGCCCAGGATTTACACCCTTGTGTAATTTCCACCCTTTGACTTCTTTCTAATGAATTAAATAGAATAGCATCACTTCCATAATTATGCTACATCATATAAGATGGTATATCTTGGTAAAAGTCTCACTCTCAAACTCACAATGGCCTTAAAGATGAAAATGCCCTTTATAAGGCAGGGCACAGTATGTAACTCATTCTCTTTTCTCTTCCTCCCAAGTGCTTCCATTACAGGCCTGTGCCATTTTGCCTGGCTACAAAACTCATTTTTCACATTGGTTATGGAGAGGTCCATGTAACAGGAAATACAAGGCAACCTGCAGGAGATTAGAATAGCCCCTAGCCCAGCAGCCCCCCCCCCAAAAAAAAAGCAAAAGCAAAAACAAAACAAAACAAAAAACAGACTAAAGAAGTCTTTGAACTCTTGAACTGCTTGCTCAGTCTTGTACCCAGGAAGAAGTTAATTCTGCCAATATTGAGAGTATGACTCCAAGTGAGAACAAAGCCCAGCCATTACTTCAATGGGAGCCTGGCAAGAGCTTGAGACAGAGAACACAGCAAAGCCAGGGGTAGACCTGTAACCCACAGAAAGTACGAGATAAATGTGTATTATTTCAGGAGATTTCACTAATCTGTTTTGTTTTTGTCAATTTGATACAATTTGGAGTCATCTGAAAAGAGGGAGCTTTAACTGAAGAATTGCCTCTATCAGACTGGCCTGCAAACCAATTTGTAGAGCATTTTCATGATTAATGATTGATATGAGCTGATCCAGCACATCCCAGTGCCACCCTTGGGAAAGTCGTCCTGAGTTGTTAAGAAAGCAGGCTGAGCAAGCCATAATAGCAATCCAGTAAGCAGCATCCCTCCGTGGTCTCTGCTTCTGTTCTTGAGTCCCTGCCCCGACTCCCTTTCATGATGGACTGTGACTGGAATTTATAATCCAGATAAATTCCCTGCCCTTTCCTCCCTGGGTTGCCTTTGGTTATGTCTTATCATGGTAATAGAAAATAAACCAGGGCAGGGCTAGAGAGATGGTGACATAGTTAAGAATACTTGGAGGACCTGTAAAGGACCTGGGTTTGATTCCCAGCACCTGTATCAAGAGATGTGGGAGTCCACAAGAAGTTTCTTAGTGAGAACTTACTCGGAGTCAGAGAATCCGAGCTTGCTTTACCCAGCAGGGCTGCATAAGGAGATGATTTGGTCACGGGCATGTTTACCAGGTGTTTGGAAGGTTCTATGTTTGCCTGTACGGTATGCTTTGATCTTGCGAGGGGGAGGTCATCTGCCTTTTCCCCTGGGCATGTTATAAAAAGCCCTTTTGAATAAAGCCTCAGGGCTGTTGGGTATTGATCCAGGACCTTCTGAAGTTATCCTGTGTTTCTTTCTTCTCGTCAGCTAGATATCACTTTCTATCTATCATTTCTTAATTCCTCTTTCCTCCACCTCTTTCCCTTCAAAAGGTGGGAGCTGGGCTCCCACAAGGAGGCTGACCCCTTTCCTGTAACACCAGCTCCAGAGGATCCAATGCTGTTTTGATGCAAGATATTTGTAGTGTGTAAAGATGTGTCATTGTAATTAGTTTAATAAAAAGCTTACCATCCAATAGTTAGGCAGGAGAGGTTAGGCAGGACTTCTGGGCAGAGAGAAAACTCAGGGCATGAAACTAGGTGTGCAAAATGGAGGAAAGGAAAAGAGAGCCATTTGGCAGAATGTAGATTAATAGAAAGGGCTAATTTAAGTTATAAGAGCTAGTGGGACAAGCCTAAGCTTGTAGTGATTTTGTTTGTGCTCTACCAAATAAAGCTTGCCTGAAGATCAGTGGGTGGAGCTAGCCATTAGTTAACCATAGAGGTCTGGCGATCTATATAGACAGGAAACAGGAAGTGATATGGCTGGGTGGAGAGAGGA